GTCCACCAGGAACCCCAGATCTCTTTCCACAGAGCTGCTCCCTTTTCGGGTAGATTCTAGCCTGTGCTGCACTTCTGGATTATGTTTTCCCAGATGCAAGACCTTACACTTGTCCTTGTTAAACTTCATAAGGTTCTTGTAGCCCATTTTTCCAGCCTACCCGGGTGTTCCTCCAGGGCATCTCCTTTCCAAAGGGTCCACTTCCCCACTCAGTTTGGTGTCATTGGCAAAATTCAATGGGGTAAAGAAATGCTTCTGGAGGGGAGATACACAATCCCTGTGGCTTGCTGGCTGTTGAACTGTAAGGGCACAGGCTGAACCTTCTCTCGAGAGGGAGTAAAGAACAACATTAGCACAAGTACCAATGAGATGGTGGACAGGAGGAATGGGCATTCATTATGTCCCTTCCACTTCCAAAGAATTCCTCTCCACTCCCACAGATCTGAGGTCTGGACACAGCTTTTGTTGCAGGTCCTTATCTGGCTCTGGAGCCAGAGCCCTTTGTGCCTAACAAAATGGTGCCAAATGCTGCCCTTCCAGGTGACCCCTGGTGCACTTGGCGAAAACTCTACAACCAACTCAAGCTTGTGCAGGACCAAGCTGATACTCTAGCCAGGAATGCCATGTTCAAGACCTGCAGTCCTGGCTGCTGCTCTTGAATCTGCTGCTGAACTGCACAGGTACAGCCAGCTTCAACATCCTTTTCCTCCTTGCTGTGCTGTAGGAAAACAAAGGCTCTCAAGACAGAGACCCTGGTGCTGTTTGTCAGTCTGTTCTCTTTCGATGTTTCTCTCTACAGCTCACACCTGGGGGTGTGCTTTAGGAGATCCCCAGGGCTCTGTTCTGCCTTGGCCCACTTCCCCTACTGTGGCCAGAGGAGCCCAGCCAAGAGCAGAAAGCTGCTGGCAGGGGTATTCCAGTGCCTCAGAGGAAGTGGGTGTGGGGCAACAAAGGGGGGATTTATCTTCCCCAGGAGGGCTAAGCCTTCTCTGAAGCTGAAGGAGAAGCAATGGCCAACCTCACCTGCCCCAGGGAGTTGAGGAGCTTCTGCAGGAGCAGGAGCATGTTGCAGGGAGAGGAATGTCTATCTTCTGCAGCATCTGTAGCAGCACCCTGACTACAGAAAGGGGAGGGGGCACCCTGAGGCCTGACCCTGTCTTAGACTGAGTTCCAAGCATAATGAGAGCTTTGGCATGTGTCTGACAGGTGTTTACCACGTGGGACAACTTGGTGGAGAAAACCTCCAGAGGACAGCAGCAGTGTGCTGGGCCTGTGTATCCTCCTGTGTTCAACCCCTCCAACAGCAGGGGATGTTGGGGTTTCTTCAGGTCAAGGCTGGTTCTGCCAGCATAACTCCAGAGCACACAGTGCCGCTCATTCACAGCCTGTGGCCAGGGCTGGGTACAGTGGCCACCCTAAACATTCAGGTGAAGGTCAGCTGGACCCAGCACCAGTGTCTCCACAGCCCGTGGTGTTGCACATCTGGCAGAGAACTGCGTCAGCTCCAGGAAGAGTCTTGTCACCTGTGATGGAGCTGTGAGGCGTGCTCCCCCTGCCACAACCTGACCTTTATTTCCCAGTGGGAAGGGAGAGTAAACCAGTGACACAAGTGGCAGTTGTTTGTCATGGACACATCTGGTGGTGATGGCTGTATCTACCCAAAGTGGATTCAAGGGAGATAGAGAACAACACCATGGCCAGCGGCCAATCTGAACAACACACCGCCCTAACCACAGTGCCGCTCCAGGTCTGACTGCACCAAGGCTGGAAGAAAAAACATCTGTAGTCGGTGTGCAGATATGACCATGAGTCATCCTATTCCATAAATAGTGGGCAGCCCTGGGCCTGTTGAGCTCTCCTGCACAGCGGTGGGCTGCATGCCAGCATCCTCCCTTGAGTAGGGACAGCTCTAAAGGGGACTCCTCAAGGTCAAAGAAATTTTGTCTGTGCTCTCTGCAGTAAACACTCAAGTGTACTGAGTGGTTTTTTGTTAAGTCACTGTCAAGCTTGCCACTGAACTTTGTTAACTCATTCTTGTATCAATAAAATCCATTGTCCCTTCTTTGGAGAGTGAAGTATAGGACTCCATCCATGATGGCAGCATAAAGGCCATTGCCAAGCGTGCCCTCCAGGAAGCTGAGGTCCCAGGCTTTACCGGAGGTGTAAGGAAGGGCACGCTGCAGAAGGCTTGACACAGAGATTTCCCTCCTCCCTCGGGAGGGACAATCGTGTATCGTCCTCTAGTTCCCTGTCACAGCCATCCAAAAGGCTGGTGCTGCTAGAATAGGCCCTGTGTATGGCCAACACTTCCTTTTCCTGTTGTCTCACACTTCCTGGTAGGGGAAGAGAGTACTGTGGCAGGAATTAGAGTTGCCTTAGTCATACGTTTCTCTGAATCCAGGTCTTGGGCCCTCCTCAAGGGTGTAATGTAAAGAAAGAACTGTCTCAGCAGTCTGTATTTACACCTGCTACTGCAGATCTGGTCTCTGCAGCACTGCTCTGTCAGGAGCCTCATGGCAGAGAGGAAAAAGCCATTCATCTCATCATCTTGTTTCAGAAGGAGCCCTCTGGGTTCCAGAACTACCTCAGGCTGCAGGTGCTGGGCCATTGAGGAACCTGAGCCATGCTTCCTGCCTGTATCGAGTCAGGTCCCATAGGGATCCTGCCAAAGAAGGGGGGAAGGGGTCAGGTCAGTTTTATCTGGCAATAAATCCTATTTATTTTCCCCAGATTGAGTGTGAGCCTGTTGTGCCTGGGATGCAAACAGGCAGGGGAGCACGGCTGGGGCGGGTGGGAGGTGGCTCTGATGGCAGCTGGCAGCACTTGGAGGGAAGCACGTATGGAAGGCAGGATGGCAGATGGGGCAGCACAGAAACAGCTTGGTATGATGGTCAGGAACACAAATAGTCAAAGGGAAGAGATGAGAGTGCTCTTGGCACCAAAGAGAAGCACCAGGAAAGGAAGCTCGGTCATTACAGAGTGGGTGGGGGTGAGAGGGGGTTGGAAGCCCAGAGAGGTTTTGTCTGGAGAGATGCGAAAAGCCCAATTGTCAAAAGTAAACTCAAGGGAAGTTCCAGCTCTGTCAGTCAAAACCAAGCTCAATTCAAGCGCTCTTCAGCCAAGGGAGAAGCAGTGGCTGACCTTGCCTGTCCCAGGAGACTGAGGAGCTTCTGCAGGACCAGGAGCACATTCCAGGGAAGGAAATAGCTGGGAGCAAAGTGCCTGGGCGGCACAGCCCTTGGGTTATGGGGACTTTGTTCTGCTTCCCACCCCCGTCTTCCAGCTAATGGTCCTGGGTATCCTGGGAACAACTGGTCTTACTATTAAGACTGAGGCCAAGGAGGCATGAAGTAACTCAGCCTTTTTCTCATCCTTGTCACTATGTTTTCCCCCCTATCCAATAAAGAATTGGAGCGAATTATGAAAAATTTTGAGAAAATAAGAAAATTTGTGGAAATACTGGGGAAAATCAGGGGGAATTAGGGTGAAATAGAGGAAATAAAGGGGAAAATCAGGGAAATTGGGGAAAATTAAGGGATATTGGGGCAAATTATTGGTGGAATAAGAGGAAATTTGGGTAAAGTAGTACAAATGATGGGAAAAAGATAAAAAATTGGGTAAATTGGGGAAATAAATTTCAGTTAGGGGGAATTAGAAACATATTCAGGGAAAATAAGGAGAAATTGGGGATTTTGGGGAAAATTAGAGTGAATTGGGGCAAATTTGGGGAAATAAGATACTTTAGGGGAATCAGAAAATGTATAAAAATTTAGGGAAGCGTAGGGGAAATAACGGAAAAATTAGGGAAACTGGGGCAAACTGAGGGAGAATAAGGGGAAATTTAGGTGAAAAAAGGGCAGAGTAAGAAAAATTTGGGGAAATCCTGGGATAATTAGGAGAAATTAGGGGAAATTGAGGGAAAGTTAGCAAAAGAGGGGAAATTAGAGGGAAGTTGGGTTAAACAAATTTGGTGGAAACTTGAGGAAATCAGGGGGAAACAGGAAATTTAGGAAAATCGGGGGGAAGACAAGGAAATTTGGGGCAAATTGCAGGAAAAATGAGGAAATTTAGAGAAACCTCAGGGGACACCAAGGAAATTCATGGCAAATTGATGAAAATTTGGAGAAAACGGGGAAATCAAGGAAATTTGTGGCAGATTGGGGGACATTTAGGAAAATCAAAGGAAAACAAGGAAATCTGGGGAAAAATCAAAAAACTTTGGGGGAAATTGGGAAAATTAGGGGAAATTCAGACACCTGAGTCCCCTATATGGGGTCTAATGGTATCTATGGGGCCTGGATGTCTGGGTCCCCCTAGCTATTCTTAGGTGAGTTATGGGGGTCAAGAGGGGGGGAAGGGGGACCTATAGGGCCAGCCCCATATATGGTTATGAGGTGAAGGTGCCCCACAGCCCCATTGGCGTCACAAACTGATCAGATGTCAGGGGTTGGGGGGGCATGTCCCAAAAATATCCCATTGTGGGGGGAGGGGGAGGGAACAAAGGGATGGGAGGAGGGGCCCAGATTCTTGAGTTCCCTCGAGGGGGAAGGGGGGTCACACCTGTCCTTTGTCTGTCTGTCCCCTCCTCCACCCAGGGGGGACTCAGGCATCTGGGCAAGCCTTTTGGTTTGCCTCATTCATCCCATAATAAACCACGGGGGGGGGGGCTACAGGGGGCCCCTACAGGGCTGAGAGGGGGGTGTCCTATGGGTTTGGGAAAGCCCTATGGTGATTCTCTGGGGCTGGAAGTGGGTGTTATGGGGGAAGCTATAAGGATTCTATAGGGGAACATATTGAGGTCCTATGGGGCTGGGAGTGGGTCCTATAGGACCATGGAACAGGGGGTGGGGGTGTCCAATAGGACTGAGAGTGAGCCCTATGAGGCTGGAGGGAATTACAGGGGTCAAATGGAGAGAAATATGGAAACCCTGAGGAAAGTCCTATGGACTTCTTATAGTGCTAAAGGGGTGTCCTGTGGGACTGGGGGAGACCTATGGAGCTGAAAGTGTGTCCTGTGAGGTAAGGGGGAACTGTGGGGATGAGATATGTGGGGGTGAGATATGTGGGGGCTTCTGTGGGGCTGGAGGAGCTCTATAGGTCCAAAGGGGTCACTGGACCCTTTGGGGCAGTGAGGGTCCTATAGGATGACAGCAGAGGGGGGGCCCTATGGAAGTGGGGAGTGCCCTGTAGATCCACAGGGGTCACCGTGTCCCCATGGGGCAGTAGGGTGGCCTTGAGGTCACCTGTCTGTCCATGCCCGCCCTCCCCCCTTCCCAGTGACGCAGCTGGGGGGGAGGGGGGATATAAGGGGGATCCCCCAGCCAGTGCCTGCAGATCCAGGGGCAGGTGGGGCAGGGGGCACCGGGAGCACTGTGAGGGTCTGGGAAGGGGCTGTAGGGGGATTGGTGCCAATTGTAAGGGACTGGGAAAGAACTGGGTCAATGTGGGAACTGGGAGGGACTGGGAGGAAACTGGGAGGGTCTATGGGGGAACTGGGAGGGACTGGGAGGGTCTATAGGAGAACTGGGAGGGTCTATGGGGAAACTGGGAGGGACTGGGATGATACTGGGAGGGTCTATAGGGGAACTGGGAGGGACTGGGAGGATCTATGGGGAAACTGGGAGGGTCTATGGGGGAACTGGGAGGGACAGGGATGATACTGGGACAGTCTGTAGGGGAACTGGGAGGGACTGGGATGATGCTGGGAGGGTCTGTGGGATAACCAGAAGGGACTGAAATGATATTGGGGGAGGGTACTGGATAGAGGGATATTGAAACTTACTAAGCAGTGCTGGGGTGGGGGGGTGGGGGGGTGAGTGGGATGGTGTGTGCTAGTGTACTGGAGAATTATTGGTGGGGCTTGGGGGGATGCTGGGATATACTGAGACATACTAAAACATACTGAGGGGCGGTTATTGTGTTCCGGACCAGGACCAGAGCCCCCCTGAGTCTGCACTATCATCCCCTGACTCGGAGACCACTGAGAGAGGTGGGACTGGGCACTGGGAGCACTGGAAGGAACTGAGGGGTGTCTGGGGGAACTGGGAGGAACTGGGAGGGATGGAGAAGTACTGGGGCATACTGGGAGGTGCTGGGGTGGGGTAAAGGGTAGGCAGTGTGAGGCACTGGGGAAACTCAGCTTAACTGAAAGGAACTGGGAGCACTAGGGTGGGTACTGGGACTGCCAAGGAGGAATTGGGATGGAGATAGGGACAACTGGGAGGAACTGGGAGCACTAGAAAGTAACTGGGAGCAGTGGAGAAGAATGGGGGAGGATGAGACCACCAAGGACGGACCTCAGAGGGGGCTGACTGGGAGGACTGGGAGCTCTGTAGAGGAACTGGGAGCACTGGGGAGGAACAGAGGAGTCAGATCAACCATGAGGAACTGGGGCATCTGGAGAACAGTGGATGATGAAACAAGGAAGGAGCTGGGATGGGGTCTACTGGGAGGAACTGGCAGCACTGGGAGGGTCTGATCCCTTCTGCCCCACACAGCCTCACCCAGCGCCACCATGCCTGACGTGGAGATGGCTGAATTTGGGGAGGCCGCCCCCTATCTCCGCAAGTCGGAGAAGGAGAGAGTGGCCGCCCAGACCCGCCCCTTTGACCTGAAGAAGGACATCTTTGTTCCTGATGAGAAGGAGGAATATGTTAAGGCCACCATTGTCAGCCGTGAGGGCTCCAAGATCACTGCTGAGACCGAGCATGGCAAGGTGGGGGGACCCCAGCCACACACGGGACATCAGGACCTCAAAATAGTAACTCCATCCCCCAGGGGACACAAAGAACCCAAGTCACCTTCACTAGAACCCAAGAAACATCTAGACCTCAACATACCTTCACCAGCACCCACTGGATTCTCAGACCCCACAACATCTTCTCTAGAACCCAGGAAATATCTAGACCCTGACCCCCCTTTCCCAGCACCCACTGGACACCTAGACTCCCTCCTACCCCCTCCATCAACCAAGGGACACCCAGACCCCAAACCATCTTCTCTATCACTTGAGGGACACCTACACCTTCTCCAGCTCCCAAGGCAATACCCAGATGCCCAGGTCCCAGCCGTATGGGAGGAAAAACCTGGGGCAACTCCTTGTCCTGTCCTCCCAACCCATGGTGTTCTCCTTACCTTGAGCAGACAGTGACGGTCAAGGAGGACCAGATCATGCAGCAGAACCCTCCCAAGTTCGACAAGATCGAGGACATGGCCATGCTGACCTTCCTCCATGAGCCTGCCGTCCTCTACAACCTCAAGGACCGCTACGCCTCTTGGATGATCTATGTGAGTTGGGAGCCCATGAGGTTCTCCAGACCCCATCTGGAACTTGGACAACCCTTCTCTAGACCCCTTGGGCCAAATAGACCTAGGATACCCTTTCTCCAGATCTCATGGGCCACCCATAAATGGGATGTCCCTTTTTCACACCTTTTGAGGCGCCCAGACCAAGATGTCCCAAACCCTTTGGGACACTTGAAACCAGGATGTCCCTTCTCCAGATTCTGTGGGCCATCCAGAACTGGGATATCGTCTCTCCAGGCTTCTTGGGTCACTCAGACCCAAGATGTTCCATCTCCAGATCACATGGGCCACCTAAAGTCAAGACATCCCTTCTCCAGACCCCTTGGGCCACCTAGATACAAGATATCACTTCTGCAGACCCCTTGGACCACCTGGTGGGGTGGCACCTCCAGACTCTGACCCACCTACTTCTTTCTCCAGACCTACTCAGGACTCTTCTGCGTGACAGTCAACCCCTACAAGTGGTTGCCCGTCTACAATGCTGAGGTGGTGGCTGCCTACCGGGGAAAGAAGCGGAGTGAAGCTCCACCCCACATCTTCTCCATCTCTGACAATGCCTACCAGAACATGCTGACAGGTAGGGACTTCCTGCAGGGACCTCAAGACCATATCCACTGATCCTTTTTGGGGAGCAGAAGATGTGGGGCAGATGTGGGGCAGAGCCAAGGTGGACTTCAGAACCTCATGCTTCTTCTCCTTGTTCCACCAGATCGGGAGAACCAGTCCATCCTCATCACGTAAGTGACCTCATATCTAAACACGTTCTTAGCCCTGCTCACCTGGCACATAGCCCCTCTCCTTCTCCCTCTGAAGCCATGCCCACTGGCACGGCCAACCCTTTCTCACCACCTGGGCTTGCCTGTGGATATCCATCGTCCACCTACTGCAAGTGCCACTCCCCCAGTGAGTCCCCACCCCTAGCACCATAGCCCTGCCCACAGCACTCAGCCCTTGCTTTCCTTGGCTGCCCTCAGCGGAGAATCTGGGGCGGGGAAGACAGTGAACACCAAGAGGGTCATCCAGTACTTCGCCGTCATTGCTGCCATCGGTGACCGTGGCAAGAAGGAGACAGGGGCCCCAGGCAAGGTGAGGACACTGGATGGGGGATGACAATGTCTGGCCAACATTCTGCTGCCTGTCTGTCCAACCAACAACACAATGTATCACCCAGCCAATCACCCTACCAACCACCCAAACAATCCAACCAACCATCCAGCCAAGCAACCATCTATCCAACCTTCCATTCATCTGCCCCAGTTCCATCCCTCCACCCATGGCATCAACCCACCTCCCTGCCTATGCAAACCTACATGGACCTGTGTTCTCCCATCCATCCATCTCAGCCTCACAACCCCAGCTCCTGCCCCTCCCTGTGACAGTCCCCCCACATTGTCCTACTCTACCAGGGCACTCTGGAAGACCAGATCATCCAGGCCAACCCTGCCTTGGAGGCCTTTGGCAACGCCAAGACTGTTCGCAATGACAACTCATCGCGATTCGTGAGTGTTGGGCTGAAGCCTATGGAGTAGGGTCTGTGGGTTAGGGTTATCTGGGAAAAGGTGGCCACCTCCACCTCCTGCCACTGCTTTTCCAGGGGAAGTTCATCCGGATCCATTTTGGAGCCACTGGGAAATTAGCATCAGCTGACATCGAGACCTGTGAGTAGGTTGTGGGCTTCATGAGAGGACATCTGGTTGTCCATCACCCATCCATCCATCCATCCATCCATCCATTCCTCCACCCACATGCCCATCCTTCTCGTCATCCTACCATCCATCTACACTTCCATCTCCTCAAACCTCCATCCATCCGTCCATCCATCTGACCCTCCATCTCCTCATCCCAACTTCCACTCATCTTCTCTCCATTCCCATCTCAGACCTTCTGGAGAAATCCCGCGTCATCTTCCAGCTGAAGGCTGAAAGAAACTACCACATCTACTACCAGATCCTCTCCAATAAGAAGCCAGAGCTGCTGGGTGAGCCATGCTCCCACCCCACCTACAAACACCTGACCCCAACTCCTTTCTGAAGGACTCCTGCCTGTTCCAACCCCATCTTCTCCTTGCAGATATGATGCTGGTGACCAACAACCCCTACGACTATGCCTTCATCTCCCAAGGAGAGACCACAGTGCCATCCATTGATGATGGAGAAGAGCTCCTGGCTACAGATGTGAGATGAGGGGCCACTAGGCAGTGTGTATGTGTGTTTCTGTGTGGGCTGAAGAAGACCTTCATCCACATTTTTGCCCCACAGAGTGCTTTCGATGTCCTGGGCTTCACCCAAGAGGAGAAGAACTCCATCTACAAACTGACAGGTGCCATTATGCACTTTGGCAACATGAAGTTCAAGCAGAAGCAACGGGAAGAGCAGGCAGAACCAGATGGCACTGAAGGTTGGGTCCAATCAAGGTCAAGGTGGGAACTAGGGTGAACCCCATGGTCCTTCCAGGTTCATGTTTTCTCCTCTGCATCCTCAGAGGCAGACAAGTCAGCTTACCTAATGGGGCTGAACTCAGCTGATCTTCTCAAGGGGTTGTGCCACCCTCGGGTCAAGGTGGGCAATGAGTACGTCACCAAGGGGCAGAATGTCCAGCAGGTGAGTAGGACATCCCCAAAACCTCCTCCCTTTGGGGTGGCATGGTGCCATCTCCAGCAAGGAGGAGAGCACTGAGAGCCCCCTCTCACCGGTGGAACATTCCTCTTCCAGGTGATTTACGCTGTTGGGGCCTTGGCCAAGGCTGTGTATGAGAAGATGTTCAACTGGATGGTGACCAGGATCAACAACTCGCTGGAGACCAAGCAGCCACGGCAGTACTTCATTGGTGTGCTGGACATCGCTGGCTTCGAGATCTTTGATGTAAGCCTTGGTTGACCCTGTTGTGTTGACCCCATCGGGTGTTGAGTTAATCCTATTCGATGGCCAGGTGGCCCTGTTTTCACTGGTTGTTCTGTTAAGTTCATTGGGTCTCAGGTTGACCCCGCAGATCTTATTATGTGTTCTGTTGACCCCATTGGCCATCTCCTCTCTCCTTCCCCAGTTCAACAGCTTTGAGCAGCTCTGCATTAACTTCACCAATGAGAAGTTGCAGCAGTTCTTCAACCACCACATGTTCGTGCTGGAGCAGGAGGAGTACAAGAAGGAGGGGATTGAGTGGGAGTTCATTGACTTCGGCATGGACCTCCAGGCCTGCATTGACCTCATTGAGAAGGTGCCACCTCCCCCCAGGGCTTCTGGGGGCTGAAGGGGCTGCTGGGGAAGGGCCCTTCCAGTTGGAGCTTGCCAGGGACCCCAAAGTTGGGCAGTTGGGTTGTGCTTGGTGTTCACTATGACCAACAAGGTCTTCTCTTCCCAGCCCATGGGGATCATGTCCATCCTGGAGGAGGAATGCATGTTCCCCAAGGCCACAGACATGACCTTCAAGGCCAAGCTCTTTGATAATCACTTGGGCAAGTCAGCCAACTTTGGGAAGCCACGCAATGTCAAAGGGAAGCAAGAGGCCCACTTTGCCCTCATCCACTATGCTGGCACGGTAGACTACAATATCATTGGATGGCTGCAGAAGAACAAAGACCCTCTCAATGAGACAGTGGTGGGGCTCTACCAGAAATCAGCCCTGAAGCTCTTGGCCAACCTCTTCGCTAACTATGCTGGAGCTGATGCACGTAAGGGGCACCCCCTTCCTGAACATCTGGGGCTCTCCCCACCCTGCCCATCACCTATCTCATAACTTCTTCTCCAACAGCCGTGGAGAAGGGGAAAGGAGCCAAGAAGAAAGGTTCCTCCTTTCAGACTGTCTCTGCACTGCATCGGGTAAGAGTTCAGGGGTTAGTGGTAGAACCTAGAGTGTTTGGGCATTGAAATCATGTCCTAGGGCAGGTAGTGATCCTTGCTGGGACAGGTCGGGGGGGTCTTCCTTTTCTTCATCATCTCCTCCTCCATCCTCCAGGAGAACCTCAACAAGTTGATGACCAACTTGCGGTCTACCCACCCTCATTTTGTCCGCTGCATCATCCCCAATGAGACCAAGTCTCCTGGTGAGCCAGTTCATGAGGGTTTATCCAGGGAACAGTGGTGGTCCCTGGCCAAAGGTGGTGGGGAGCAGTGCTGTGGGGCAGGCCTTGACTCATCAGTCACGATGACCCACCAGGTGTGATGAACAACCCCCTGGTAATGCACCAGCTCCGCTGTAACGGGGTGCTGGAGGGCATCCGCATCTGCCGCAAGGGCTTCCCAAACCGCATCCTCTATGGGGACTTCCGCCAGAGGTAGGCACAGAGGAAGAGATGTGGGGAGGGGGTTGACAACTCCACTGGGTCTGATCTCAGGATTTTCCTGTCCTCTCTGACTACTAGGTATCGCATCCTGAACCCCGCTGCCATCCCTGAGGGGCAGTTCATTGACAGCCGCAAGGGTGCTGAGAAGCTCCTGGGATCCCTTGATATTGATCACAACCAATACAAGTTTGGGCACACCAAGGTGAGGTCACATGGTCTCCATTCCCTGTGGTCCCATCATCCACAAGGCCTCCACGGTGGGACCAGGTTGACTCCATGGTCGCACCATCTACTTGTTCACCTGCACATCTGAGCTCACTCCATCCACCCTACCACCCATTCCTCCACCAAGCCTCCAGACCCCAACAGCACTTAGCTTCATCTCCCCTTGTAGGTCTTCTTCAAGGCCGGGCTGCTGGGGCTACTTGAGGAAATGCGGGATGAACGCTTGGCCAGGATCATGACCCGCTTACAGGCCCAAGTTCGTGGTTTCCTCTCCCGTCAGGAGTTCAAGAAGATCCTGGAGCGGAGGTGGGTAAAGATCGAAATGGTGTTGAGTCTAGGTTGAGTTGAAGTTCCTGGTGACCTGCATCCTGCTGTGCCTTCTCCAGGGACTCGCTGCTGGTGATCCAGTGGAACATCAGGGCTTTCATGGGGGTGAAAAACTGGCCTTGGATGAAGCTCTACTTCAAGATCAAGCCCTTGTTGAAGAGCGCTGAGACTGAGAAGGAGATGCAGGTAGGACAAAGCCATAGGTGGGGCAGGTGGATGGGTGGATGGGGAGAGGGAAGGGTATGTGGGGACATAGAGGAAGCAATGAGACTTACAGGTGACCTTCGTGCCTCCTGCAGAACATGAAGGAAGAGTTTGGGCGGCTGAAGGAGGCCCTGGAGAAGTCAGAGGCCCGGAGGAAGGAGCTGGAGGAGAAGATGGTCTCCATGCTGCAGGAGAAGAATGACCTTCAGCTCCAAGTGCAGGCTGTAAGTGACCTAGATGCCTCAGCCCCTCCCTCCTTTTTCCTTCAGCCTCCCACCAATCTTCCCTCTTCCAGGAGCAAGATAACCTCGCTGATGCTGAGGAGCGTTGTGACCAGCTGATCAAGAACAAGATCCAGCTGGAGGCCAAGGTGAAGGAGATGACAGAGCGAATGGAGGATGAGGAAGAGATGAATGCTGAGCTGACGGCTAAGAAGAGGAAGCTGGAGGATGAGTGCTCAGAGCTGAAGAAGGACATTGATGACCTGGAGTTGTCTTTGGCCAAGGTGGAGAAGGAGAAACACGCCACAGAGAACAAGGTAAGGGTGGGGAGAGATCTTGATTTCAAACTGTGGGGACTTGAGATGTCTCAAGCCAAAGTGAATACATTTTGAGAAGACCCAAGGGTGGTTGGGTTCAGTTGCCAAAACCCAAAGCTGTTTAGGCTGCTAAAATTCAAGGGTGGTTGAGTTGGGTCATGAAGACCCAAAACCACTTTGGTCAGGTTGTGACAACCCAAGGCTGGTTGTGTTGTCCTGTGTCCCCTGACTTAGGCCCAGCTCAACCAAGAGCAAGAACAACCTCCTGTCTCTTGTCTTACCTCTGGTACCAAACCGGAAGCTTGATATTTCTCTTCCTGCAGGTCAAGAACCTCACAGAGGAGATGGCCGGGCTGGATGAGATTATTGTCAAGCTAACAAAGGAGAAGAAGGCTCTGCAAGAATCTCACCAGCAAGCGCTGGATGACCTGCAGGCGGAGGAAGACAAGGTCAACACCCTGACGAAGGCCAAAGTCAAGCTGGAACAGCAAGTGGATGATGTGAGTGTGGGTCAGTCCTGCCACGGGCACACAGCTGGTGCCTTGGGGTGTGAAGGTCCTTCTGGAGTTGGTGTTTGTGGGGGGCTGATGGGTGTATCTCTGCCTCACTCACAGCTGGAGAGCTCACTGGAGCAGGAGAAGAAGATCCGGATGGACCTGGAACGGGCCAAAAGGAAGCTGGAAGGTGACTTGAAGCTGGCTCAGGAGAATATTATGGACCTGGAGAATGACAAGCAGCAACTGGACGAGAGGCTGAAAAAGTAGGGGCCCATCCATCTGCTTGTGCTTTACCTATAATGACCCTCTCTGCTGAGCAGGCAGGAATATGATTGCCTGGCGTTTCTCCCCACACCCAGGAAGGACTTTGAGCTCAACGCACTCAATGCAAGAATTGAGGATGAACAAGCAATTGCAGCCCAGCTCCAGAAGAAGCTCAAAGAGCTTCAGGTGAGGTGGACTTCAGCTTGGGGTTCAACTAGGAGGAGGAACTGGTTCTCCTCATTTATTTCACACCTTTTTGAGAAGGACCTAGACCAGCATGCCACAAACCTGAGGCCTGAAGCCCATGGTCTGTCCCTTGGCCTAGAACCTCCCTGTCACTTATCACCTTGAAATGACTCATGGGCTCCTGGGCAGGTTGGCTTTGGGGTAGCTTAAGCTGAACCAGTGGGTCTGGAGTACTCAAGGTAGTGGGGGCACCTTAGGTAGGATCATCTGAGCTGAGCAGACCATCTGTTTTGGATCATGTTATCTCTGATGTCCTTAGAGAAGGTTGTGTGGAGCTGTCTGATCCAGGCAGCTCTAGGGTTGGTTGAGCTGAATGTCTTCAAGACCAGTGAGTTGAAGAATCTCAAGGTAATTTGAGAAGGTGGAGTGTCTTCAGATAAGGTTGGGTTGATCTGGAGAACTCGAATCTTGACTGGGTTGAAGAGAACTGAATGAGATCAAGTCTGGTTGAGATGAAGGATCTCCAGTTGTCTGGGTTGAGCTGAAGAGTCCACATGTGGTTGGGTTGACTTGAATTGACTTAAAGACTCTCCAGCTGGATTGGTTGAATTGAGTGGAGGAGCTGGGTGAAACCAAGTCCGCTGACAGCATGTCCATCCCCTGAGCACAGGCACGGATTGAGGAGCTGGAGGAGGAGCTGGAGGCAGAGCGAACGGGCAGGGCCAAGGTGGAGAAGCTGCGCTCAGACCTGTCACGGGAGTTGGAGGAGATCAGTGAGCGTCTGGAGGAAGCAGGTGGTGCCACCTCAGTGCAGATTGAGCTCAACAAGAAGCGGGAGGCAGAATTCCAGAAGATGCGGAGGGACCTGGAGGAGGCCACACTGCAGCATGAGGCCACGGCTGCTGCGCTGCGCAAGAAGCACGCCGACAGCGTGGCCGAGCTCAGTGAGCAGATCGACAACCTACAGCGTGTCAAGCAGAAGCTGGAGAAGGAGAAGAGTGAGCTCAAACTGGAGTTAGATGATGTTGGCTCCAACATGGAGCAGCTGATCAAGGCCAAGGTAGGAAATAGGTCTCCAGCCATTAAAGAACAACTCTTCCATTGCCCTCTCAAGGTTCTCTTTCAATTTTCTGCCCTTCCTGTCTCCAGGCCAACCTGGAAAAGATGTGCCGTACCATGGAAGATCAGATGAATGAGCACCGGACCAAGTCCGAGGAGGCTCAACGCATGGTCAATGACCTCACCACTCAACGAGCAAAGCTCCAAACAGAAAATGGTGAGGGGCTTGTTCTTCCCTAACCCAATTGACTATCCCTTGCCCAGTGAGGTGGCTTTGTGGTGTGTCCAGCGAGTCACTGTCCACCATTCCATCCCACAGGTGAGCTCTCCAGGCAGCTGGAGGAAAAGGAAGCCTTTATCAACCAGATGACACGAGGGAAACTCACCTACACCCAGCAGCTGGAGGACCTCAAGAGGCAGCTAGAGGAAGAGGCCAAGGTAGGGCTTTGTTCAGGAGGTCAGTGGGGCTAAAAAACACCTCCAGTGTCAAGGGTGAAGTTGATTTGGGACTCAGAGGGGCAGCTGGAGAAAATGAGTTGAGGGTCTTCAGGGAGTTCAGCAGGTTTGGTGGGTGTCAAGGAGGTTGGGTTGGATTGGTAGTAAGGATGTTGGTTGGGTTGGTCTAGAGGAGGTTGGGACAGGTTTGATTGGTCTACAGGAGTTCTGGTCAGCTTGCAGTGATGAAAACAAAATCTTGCTGAGTTGGAGAACTCTAAGCTCAAGTTGATGTGGACTCAATGGTTCATCTTTTCCTCACTTGCTCTCTCTCTCCCAGGCCAAGAACGCACTGGCCCACGCCCTCCAGTCGGCCCGGCATGACTGTGACCTGCTGCGGGAGCAATATGAGGAGGAGACAGAAGCCAAGGCTGA